GGAGTGGGGAGAGAATGAGTCAAAAAAGGAGTAGGGAAAGAAAAAAAAATCATTCTATTTAAAAAATTGACTTCTTAGCTACAGCAAGAAATATCAATTGCATTGGACTGTGTCTACATGGTATGTAGTGTTTCTCAGCTGGTTTAATTACAGCATTCTAAATTATTAGTGATCATGAATTCTAAGGATCTGTAGGAAAAGACGAGGCTATGATCCAGACTTGGGGAATATATTCATAGTAAACTACCGGAAGGAAAAACAAATTATGTTACCTTCTTCCTTAAAAGAAAGCCATTCTCTAACACCCAGCACTGCAATGCAGTCTCAACTGTTGAGCTGAAATAGAGGCTCTATTTCACTCACTCACTAACTTGCACTGGTTAGCCTGTTATGTGGCAGTAGTTGCCTAGACTCACAAGAACCAAGATTACACTCTGGTATCATCAAATTATAATGATTACACATTTTCACAAGCGATGACACATCTCTGCGACAGCTATCACCACCTCTTGAGGGAGACCCTGTGCATTCTGGCTACATGGCATGGGCACACTGGCAACAGGATCATCAGCGAATTGGCACTTACTAGGCATGTGCAGGTTGTAGGGCCAGGAGCCGGATGCTCAGAGGTTCATGATAAAGACTGGCATGCCTGTCCTCTGAGCATATCATTAGCAAAAAAGCCTTTATTATCACAGAGGAGGAGGAAATTGGAGATCCAGGTCAGGGATCAAACACTAGCTAGCTATGAATTCAGTGTGGTAGAGGAGAAGGATATGGATGACTCTTCCCTGACACACATGAAGTGCAGCAAATAAAAAGAAGGAATATAAAAATTCTAAAGTGAACTTTAAAGACAAACACTGTACACAGTCAAATAGCAGCATCCAAAAACTACAGAAAGATTGAAATAGTTTGAGCTGAGGGGGAAAAAAAGTCTGTTATATTTGAGAATAAAAATTCATAGACCTCTAGCTATAAAATTTTGAGGATAATTCACGACAAGACAGTGTTTCTTTAGGAAATATGAAAATGCTGCTACAGAATCCTTGGTCAAAAATTGTTCTGAAATTGAAATTTTAATGAAGGGTATTTAAAGATGCATCTTCTCTCTGTTCACCAAGGGTGCACATGTGTGACACAACTGGCTGGAGATGAGGATAGAATCTGTGCCCACACAGACCAGATCAAAGCTAATTGGACTTTGGGGCAAATGAACTCACGACCCAGAACTCATTAGTCATGATCTAACACACTGAGACTGTGAGCCATAGCAAATACATGTTGATGTGAGATATTTACTTGGAATCATTTCTGTACTTAAATGGGCTTTATAATTTTAAAGCGTCAACTTGAGAAATGTTAGTTTGTGGGGTTTTTTTTGCAATGTTAGTTTTTCTAAGGTTTTGCAAATGAATGAATTCACTGATCTCACATTTACCTATTATGTGGAAGACCCTAATGGTAGTGGTGGAGTAGTTTAAAAAGGCACAGGGCAATATGTGGAATTCAGAGTCCTAAATAGGAGTGGAAAATACAAAAAGAGTAACTATATTACTTAATTTTATAGCAATAACTGAAGTTTACTGACTGTTTACTACTTACAAGATGCTACACAAAGCACTTCTGTAAAGCTAATTACCTCCATTTCATAGATGAACAAAAGGGAAGCAGGCTGTACATCTTTCACAAAGTCACACACTAGTAATTTCTCTTCCCTAACTTTGGACCAATTATGAAGATATGAGGATAGACACTGTCTCAACCCCCAATCCAATTGCCCTTCCTCCCCTGCTGCTTTCTACCATATACACATGGAAGCTACAGACCAGCATTCCCAGGTTCCCTTGCAGCTAACCACTGCTTTGCGACATGGTTACAGCCAAGAGATAGAAGCAAAAAAGAGCTGGGAGTTTCTGGGAAAGCCTCTGTGTGCATGTACATGTCTGTGTGTGTGTGTGTGTGTGTGTGTATACACACACACACACGTATCTGCATATATAGACGTATCCTCTTCTTCCTGTCTGGAATGTAGATGTGATAAGGGCAACCAAAGCAGATATCTTACAAACCTATCAGAAAATCTTGGCCCTGATCTCCTCGAGCTGCTAAACCAATGTCAGCAACAGACTAAAAGGAAGCACACTTCTGGAAGTTTCTAAAGGCTCATTTTCTATCATCATCTGGTAGCTCAGCTCCAAGTTGGCTCAGCAGATCTGATTAATTCTGATGGAAGAACAGGCTATGAAACCGAGCTTCAGAGACACCCACTCTTCCCTTTCGAAGAAAGCCACTTTTCCCTACTACATAGCCAGTTAATGTTCACTATCCCTGCTCCCGAGAAATATGCAGCACTCTGTGAAGCCAGACATCTTTCTATTGGAGCAATTTTTATGGTGTAAGCAGTCCAGTTAGGTTCCCTTTGCTATATGTCAGCTTGTAGGATTTTCTCCAATAAGGCTTACTTTATATTTGCACCATGTAGTGCTAGTGACTTGCACAATATGCTACCTTCTTATGACATGACAAAAATAAAGGCTCTAATTTGTTCAAACTTCTATTTGTCAGATTTTCCAGGATTCTCTGCTGATAGAATACTGTAATAAATGTAAGATATAATGCTACAGGAATAGACAGGAAGAGTGGTAACTCAGACCTCCACTGCAGGGGGGTGGTTTGTTCAGGCTTTGTCTAGGATGCCTTTAACTACAAGAACAAACCGAGTAGGAGATGGCACATGCTTGAGCAAAGGCAGAGTATATAATGCCTTTACTCTGGGGTTCTCATGACAGATAAACCACAGGCAAGGATGAAATGACAACAAAACTGAATGATCTCTAGCAGCGTCTAGAAACCCATTATATTTTCCCTGATAGTGGGCAAGTCCAAGTGGCAGGTGTATCTGTTTTTTGGTGTAAATGCCAACAGTAGTGTGGGTTTATGGTAGAGACTCTAAAAGCCAAAAAAAAAAAAAAGTTAAAAAAAAAAAAGACTCTAAAAGCCAACTCCAGGAGGCCCTGGTCCTATACAACAAACAGGTAAAAAATATTCAGAGTGTGTTTAAAATATGTAAAGAGTTATGGATTCATGAGAGCAACAGAAATTCATTGACTGTTCATTATGTGCCAATCACCTAAACAGATGTAAATAAAACAACAAGATGACATTTCCCACTCAGAGAGATTTCTTTCTAGTATGATAAACACAATAAGCATTCATAGCACCATGCTGCAAGTGAAAGTCAGGGTACATACAGTGCTGTCCTTACCCTACAGGGGAAAGATAAATTATATGCAGTAGAGCCATGGTCTATGTCACAATAGGGGAGATGATGGATCAGTTCATAAAGATCACGCAAGGCTTAGTGTAGGGAACCGGGAGGCAGAGGAAAACACACATCCAAAAAATAGGCATGAACAGGTAGTATTTGGGGAAATACGCACGAAGTTGGTTGTTTCCAGAACAGGTGGAAGGTGACAGAGAGGTAGGAATGGAGTGAATGCCAAGGTGGAGAGTTGAACTGTATTTTACAGGTAATGGAGGTTTTAAGGCACATGAGATTCAGTGACCAAAAGCCATGTGAAAAGAGAGAAGAGTCAGGATCCAGGAAAAACTTCCAGTTTTGTGTCAGTGATTGTCTTCTAGACATTGTGTTAGTTGTAAAGATACTTTCTCAAATCCTCACAACAACCTACTGAGAGTGAGACTATCAACCGCCCACTTTCCAGGAAAGAATCATAAAAAGCTCATAATAGTTAAGTATCATAATCATGATAATAAAACTCATACAGAGTTAAACTGGGATTCCAAGGTTTTGAGTTGTAATAACAATACATAACAATAACTGAACTTTCACTACGTGTCATGCGCTCTTCTGGTGTTAGATTTATGGCAGTGGCAGGAGTGGAACAAAGAGAGACAAAAACTCCTGCCCTCATAGAGGTTTACACGTTGACATCATGGGAGTCTATGAAACAACCCAGGGCAAGAGAAGGTGCAGTAAGAATAAAGCAGGCGGAAGTTATCGACCTGGGACCACACCAAGGTTGAAGGGAGGTGGGCACAAGAGAAGCAGAGAATCCATGGGGATCTCTCGGTGGCTCAGTGGTTTAGTGCCTGCCTTCGGCCCAGGGTGTGATCCTGGAGACCCAGGATCAAGTCCCGCGTCAGGCTCCCTGCATGGAGCCTGCTTCTCCTTCTACCTGAGTCTGTGCCTCTCTCTCCCCCTCTTTCTCTTTCTCTGTGTGTGTGTGTGTCTCATGAATAAATAAATAAAATCTTTAAAAAAAAAAAAAAGAAGCAGAGAATCCAAATTCAATTTCAGGTAAAGCCAGAGATCCAACAGATGGCAAACAAAACCTCAGTTGGTTAAAATGAATCCGTCCTGGTGACTTATAATAGTTCTTAGTCTCTCATATAACATTCTGAATCTTATTTAATCCAAAGTGGCTGAAAAACCTAATTGGTATAAAATTACAAATATATATATTCTTGGTGAGGAGTCGTGGGGGAAGGGAGGATGGAAAGGCAAGTTTAGACAGGAAACTAAGAGTTGAGGATCAACTACTCTCAAGGAGCCTAAGTACTTCGTTTAATAAATGCCAAAAGAAACTATTGCACTCATTTGTAATTAGTTTACAAACACACAAACAAATCGACCTTATTTATAAAAACAAAAAGCATAAGGTATCAATAAGGTATAGAACTCACCAACGAGGGTTATACATTTTTTTCTCAACCTAGTGAAAACTATGAAGAGGCATAACAGTTTTAAGAATTTAAAATATTCCACTGAGGTTCAGTGAGAGGAAAATCAGCACACATTCTTAACAAACCTAGACAAATTTCACTCATGAGCTTAATTTCAGTAAGTCTGTTTTGGAAAAAAAAATTACTGTGAAAACAAGGAAACAATTTGGGATGAGTGGGAAGTGTCAGAAAGTACACTATTTTCTCTAGCCACATGGGAGAACTAAAAATACTCCCACGCGTAAACTTACATCGCTCCATTGGTATAGACAGTATCGCTTCCTTCCACGTACTGCACCTGAGCTGGGTAGACATGCTGTACCTGTGGCACAGTCTGTACTTGCTGTACCTGCAAAACAAATATTAGGATCGTGTTGAGAAAGAGATAGGACAGGATACACAACGTTAGATTTGCTTCAAAGACCTCTCCAGGGGGTTGAAAACTATGGGATTCATGCAAATTTCAAGATAAGTGCATATTGGATCCAAATTAGCATAGCAAGTACGCTGAACAAATTCTCTACCATTTGGGAATGCTGTTTCTGCAGGTGCATAGGGATACACAGACTCCCAAATATTTGGGGTGAAAATTCTGAAAGCTCCTCACTTATTCTGATGGTTTACAAAATTCTCTTCATGTGGCCTGTTAAAGGTAAGTTTATTTTTCAATTTAAAAAATTCATGGGGCGCCTGGCTGGCTCAGTAGGTAGAGCACATGACTCTTGATCTCAGGGTCATGAGTTTTAGCCCCACGCTGGGTACAGAGATTGCTCTAAAAAAAATTAAAAATTTAATTAAAAATTAATGATAGAAAATCTCACACAAATGTAGAAAAGATAGCAAAATAAACCCCCTGTACACACACTCAAATGTAAAAAAACTACTATAATAAACCCCCAGTACTCCTCATCCAAGATAAATAATTGCCACCAGACCTCCCCTTTTAACCCCTTATAGGATTATTTAAACACAAGTGCAGAGATTCTATCACCTCAGTGATAAATATTTCATTTTGTTTCTAAGAGAGAAGGACTATTTTTAACACGAACACAATACTAGTATCACACGTAAAGCATTAACAATTCCTGGATATGACCTAAAATCTAGTCATTGTTAAAATCTAATTATCCCACTGTGTTCTTACAGTTAGTTTATTCAAATCAAGATCCAAACAAGGTCTGCATATTACATTTGAGTGAGATTTCCTATCTTTCTCTTTTAATCTCTAAATCTAATCTAATAAAATAAGCTAATCTAACAAAATCTAATAATGGCTAAATCTAATAAAAATATTTTTATTTCTTGATTATTACTTATTGAAGAAACTTGATTATTTGTTTTATAGAATCTCTGGAATTCTAGACTTGGCCGATAGCATCCCTGAGATGTCATTTTGTAAGCTCCTTTAACTCCTGTTTGTCCTATAAAGTGGTAGTTAGATTGAGGGCCTTGAACAGGTTCAATTTTGGAAAAGCTGCCACATAACAGCTGGTTATCTCTCCTTCCACAGTGTTAACATATGATCTGTGGAGTCAGGTGTTGTCAACTACACCCACTTATCATAATATGCTTCTTCTTCATGCTTTACCTGAGATTATTTGTAGCCACTGATGATTATTTTCTAGGGCTAGTATTTCAATTAATAAAGGTTATAACTTTGGTAGTCTGATTCTGTTATTCCTTCTACATTTATTAGTAGACTTCTATAAAGAAATCCCCCCTCTAGATGCCTGGGTGAATCCATCCATTAAGCATTTGCCTTCTGCTCAGGTCATGATCTCAGGGTCCTGGGATGGAGCCCTGCGTCAGGGCTCAGCAGAGAGTCTGTTTCTCCCTCTCTCTCTCCCTCGACCCCCTAGTTTGTACTCTCTCTCAATTAATTAATTAATTAATTAAGGTAATTAATTAAAAAATAAATTCCTCTCGTTAATTATTTGGTTACTTTGAAATAAGGTTTGTACAGGAAAAGGAGGATAAAATACATGATTCTTCTCCCTACCAGTATTCAGAATAATGATTTTATCCCCTAATTCCTTTCCAAGGTGAAGAATGTGGTTTGGGGTTTGATCTGGTTGGTATCTTTATGATTCTTGGTGGTTAAACATATTTGATGTTTTTCGATCCAATAGTTTTTTGGTTGGTAAACTGACCCATCTCTGACCAATGGTAGTCCCTTCAAAGGGGGTTCTAAATCTTCTGCCTACTTCTACTGTGATCTTACTGGATCACAGTTATCTTTTTTACTTCCCTTGGTTTCTGTTGAGATAAGATATTCTAGACTTATCTCTTATATTTCCTGTTCTAGATCTAGAATCAACCTTTCTTCAAAGAGCCTGGTTAGGGACACCTGGGTGGCTCAGTGGTTGAGCATCTGCCTCTGACTCAGGGCATGGTCCAGGGATCCTGGGACTGAGTCTCACATCAGGCTCCCCTCAGGGAGCCTGCTTCTCCCTCTATCTAAGGTCTCTGCGTCTTTCTCTGTGTCTTTCATGAGTAAATAAATAATACCTCAAAAACAAAAACAAAACAAAACAAAACAAAAAAACAAAGAACCTGGTTAGTTAGGAGTAATGTAAATATGTAAAAACTGTTTAGAAAGGCAATTTATAAACAGACTATTTGAAAACTTTGTGATTTCTTCTACAGAAATATTTACCACTGGAAAAGTTGCTGTACCATATTATTAAAAAATACAGTTTAGGGGTGCCTAGGTGGCTAAGCAGCAAAGTATCTGCCTTTGCCTCAGGTCATGATCCCAAGATCCTAGGATCAAGTTCTGCATCAGGCTCCCTGCTCAGTGGTGGCCTGCTTCTCCCTCTGCCTATGTCTCTGCCTCTCTCTCTCTCTTTGTCCCTCTCTCTCAGGAATAAATAAAAAAAAATTAAAAAATACAGTTTAGAAGAGCAAAAAGTTAGAAGGGAAAACTTTAATGAATGAGAAACAGAGTGATTAAGTAAATTAGAATAAAACCATTCTGTAGAATATAAGGCTAATGTTAAAAAAATTAAAATTGATACGTACTTTATTTTTTGTGCATTAGATTATTTTTATTATTCTCTTTATTATTACCATATTTCTATTGTGTCCATAGTTCCTCTTTTCATTTTTTTAAATTTATTTTTTATTGGTGTTAAATTTGCCAACATATAAAATAACACCCAGTGCTCATCCCATCAAGTGCCCCCCTCAGTGCCTGTCACACAGTCACCCCCATCCCCCGGCCACCTCCCCTTCCCCCCACCCCTAGTTCGTTTCCCAGAGTTAGGAGTCTCTCATTGATACATACTTTAAAAATAAGATTTCTATCACTAAGATGTTATCAAGTGAAAAAGTTACAGAATAATACTTACAGAACTGCTTTATGAATATATGGATATTTCTAATTTGTGTGAACATGTATATATAAATGGATGTAAGTACATAAAGGAAAATAGAAGGATGTACATCAAACTTCTAAAAGTGGTTTCTCTGTTGAGTGACATGAAATGAGGTGGGAGAGGTAAGGTGACTAGCATCTTCTATTCTGAATATCTATATTACTCTTGGATTTTTAAAATGAAAATGAATTCATCTGTTACATAATACATAAAATACATAAATCAATATATGGAAGGATTTCTACTTGCAGCCATGATGGAATAAATATACTAAAAATGCCCTCCCCACACTAAACAAGTAGAAAATTGGACAAAAGATGTAAAATGATGTTTCTGGTCATTTGAGAAAAGGCATCATAACAATGTGATCCTTAAGAGTAGGTGAACACACAAGGTGATCCTATAATGATCCCAGCTTTTGAAATGGAGGCATTTCCTAGACTGCTGAGCAGGGAGTAACCAAGTAGAACATCATGATCACACCATGGTGAGGAGATACACTCTGGAGTTGGGGAGGCTAAGGCAGCTGAAATTTGGGAGCACTGTCAGAGAGGGCATTAAGCAGAGAAAGAGATCCCAGAACATTAACAAAAATCCCCTTCATCCTGATGCTGAATACTGAATTGCACATCTATAGTGCACAGAGATACTCAAACATTCAAGATATAGTGGTTAAGTCCTAGGCTTAACTAGCTCTAGAGCAAGAGTACTTTAGAGCCATCTTAATAAAGCTAAAAAATAAGCCTCAAAAAGATCAAGTTGATTAAGGTAACTGCCTATATAAAACAAAGTTTAATGCTTTAACAGGAAGACAGCAAAATCAAGACATGCAAAACTTTAAGAATCAAAATGTCGAGTACCAAATAAAAAATTATTAGACACGTGAAAAAGCAGGAAAATGTGATATATAATCAGGAGGAAAAAATCAATCAATAGAAACATACAGAAATGAAAGATAGGAAGTGGCAGAGATTTTTAAATAGTTATAAATAGAGATGCTTGGGTGACACTCAACACTCAGAGATTGAGTGTCTGCCTTCAGCTCATGCGTGATCTCGGGGTCCTGGGATCAAGTCTCCCATTGGGTTCCCCTCAGGAAGCCTGCTTCTCCCTCTGCCTATGTCTCTGCCTCTCTCTGTCTCTCTCATGAATAAATAAAATCTTTACAAAAATGCTATAAATAGACTAGTTTTAAAGGAGAACATGAATATGATGAGAAAAAAAAAGAAAGAAGCTATAAGGAACGAAGTAGAATACTGAAAAATACAAGATGAAAAATACAGAATCTGAAAAGTAAAATTCACTGAATGGGAGTAAGAGTAGACTACATAATGCAGAAGAAAAGACTGGTCAATTTGAAAACCTAGCAATAAAAACTAATTGCCATGGGGCACCTGGGTGGCTCAGTCAGTTAAGCATCTGCCTTCAGCTCAGGTCATGATCCTGGGATCCTGGAATTGGCCTGCATCTGGCTCCCTGGCTCCCTGCTCAGCAGAGAGCTTGCTTCTTTTCTCTTCATCTGCCCCTCCCACAAATTGTGCTCTTTCCCTCTCTCTCAAATAAATAAATAAATAACATCTTTAAAAAAAAGAACCCCACAAACTATCTGCCAAGAAGAACAGACAAAAAAGAAATGAGGAATAGAGAATCAGTGAACTATGTGATAACATTAATTGCATTTGGAGTCTCAAAAGAAGAGGAACAAAAAACATAGCTGAAGAGTGGTAGAAACTTTCCAAATTTGATTTAAACTATAAACACACAGATCTAAGCTCAATATACCCAAATGTATAGACAAAGAAAACCCTATCAAAGTATATCATCATTAAAACGCTAACACTCAATAAGATGAAGAAAAAAAATATTTTTTTAAAGATTTTATTTATTTACGCATGAGAGACAGAGACAGGCAGAGACACAGGCAGAGGGAGAAGCAGACTCCATGCAGGGAGCCCAATGCAGGACTCGATCC